GATCTCTGAGTGATCCTGGCCCGGTTTTGGCCGACATGTGCCCCGTTATATGTCCCTGACCCTCGCGGGACTCAACTGCCTTCACGCGCACCCAGCTTTGGGTCCACAACACCCACACGCGCTCACCCACCGGCCCCGCTCCAGAACGGAGCCCGGACGCTGTTCAGCCCCTGCCAGCCACCGCATCTCACCGAGGGTTTGTCGAAGATCCTCGCAGAGGCTGATGTGGGGGAACTGCAGCATCTGGCGCCATTTCTTACTCTTGCCTTTCCGGTTTCCGCCACCACCTGCAGGGCACACAAAATTGGTACCATGAGTTATGAAGCAAGGACGTCCGACCGCAGCCTAGCCTTACCAGGAGCTTAGAGAGGAGACACCCTCTGTCCATTTACACAAGCAAGCCCAGGCAAGGAAAACAAGACCGAAGCGGTACCGTCGTCTCCTGGCTGGCGGAACAAAAGCACTAGAGCCTCTGACTGCCAGAGGAAGCGGACGGAACAACCACTCTGGCTGCTGAACAAAGTCACAACCAAGAACACGAAGACCTTTCACCTGGATATCTCAGTGACTCGTAGTCAGAGTGAAGAATCGGGGCTGGGGCAGGAGTGCCTAAAGCCACAGGTTACTCTATGCCTGCACAAGAGTTCTTGGCTCCCAGGCCTGTCCTCAGGACCTCTGCATAACTAATCACCTCTCGAGGCCAAGCCTTGCTTGGTGTGAAGCTCTTCTGCTGTAGTAAGGATGTTCATGCCACCTACTCATTCCAGACTGATTGCTTACTCCAGGGAGGGGCTCTCAGAGAGAGGACACAAAGCTGGGAGACAGGAATTCCTGCTCTAATCCTGGCTCCACAGACAACTCACTGCATCGCCCGGGGCTCATCACTTCAGTTTCCCACCTGTGAAGTGGGGACACTCCCACCTTTCTCCAGAGATAAGCCAGCCTCTGAAAAGCAAGATCCAAGAACTAGATATTATTCCAACTTCAGTTGCTGGAGTAAATGCCCAGTGCTGTAGGACAGGGTGGGAAAGCTTCTAGATAGACCAAAAAATTTACATCATAGCAAGCACTAAGTACTGAAATACTTGTACGCCTGGTTGCTGGGATCAGCCAACCTCTCCAGGGATTGCCTTTCCCCCTGCCCAGTGCCAACACACAATCTCCCACCTCCCTTTGGAAATACATTAAACCACCCTGCCAAGTCATGGCTTTCTGAAATCAGGGGGGGGCTGAACATCGTTTATCAGTTCTTGAGAAACACTTTCATAACACTTTCCTCCACTGCAGATGCAATTCAGCCCCTAATCCTAGACACAGTCCCCGGGCATCCAGCTCCCTGTGCCACAGGAGGCCTTGGTTGGACAGGCAGGTGGGACGGGGCCATCACAGCCGGCTTTCTTCAGGGCCAGCCCCCAGGTCCGAGCCCCTGGCATGCTGCGGGTTGCTGCGCTACACTTGCCCCGCACCAGCAGCTGGGCTGCACGATTGTACAAACTCAGGAAGGAAGTGACTCAAGGGTAAGCAGGGGTGGAAGAAACCAGCAGCAGACACCTTCTTGTCAGCCACGGCTTGCAGCAACGAAACGGACGGGGACAACTAAGTGAGGGCACAGGAGGACAAGCCATCCCACCCCCATGAGCACTCAAGGAAAGGCAGAGTTGTGCCCCACAGCACCCAGAGGACGAGGACCGGCAGCTTGCATTTCCTTGAGTTGTTTGCTTTGAAAGGAGGCTCCAGCACCCTTCACACAAGGTTCTTCCCTGCCCTCCAGGCACCGCAGCAAACAGCCCAGCAGGGAACTTGTCTCCGGCACATCAACCTCCCAGCACCCCTGTCTTGGGGACGGGGCAAGGGGTGGGCCACCTCCACCCAGAGCTCACCACAGGGGAGCTTCAGGGCTTGGTGATACCTCAAAGCTGGTCTGTTGTTCCTCTGCCAGAGGCCAGCAGGCAAGGGGGACAACGGGGGAAGGATCCTTCACCTTCCCTGGGCCAAACCCTCCTAGAAGAGTTTGAAGGGAACACAGAGCATGGTCATCCTATGGCAGCAGCTGAAGATGGCTGTCAGCAGCCCCCCCCCAGCACGTCCAGGGAAATCTCAGCCCTGCACTCCCACACCAGACCAGGAGGCTCCCAAAAAGGCTGGGCTGGAGCAGAGCACATGGTGCTGCTGGACCTGGCCAGCAAAGCTGCTTTGTCTTGTCACACAGGCTGCCAGAGCTCACCCCAGCAGCCACCGTGGCCACCCAGCCACGGGTGGGAGAGCTGTGGACAGGCAGCACAGCCACCCGCGGCTCTCGCAGGCCAGGAACCGTCCAGCACGAGCGTGCCAGTGGATCGTATTTGCCTGCAGCAAAACTACCCATCACCTGCCAAGGCTGGGGTACCAGAGGAGCACTGGGAAGCACCGCAGCAGCCGCCCGATGCCTCGCTCTGCATCAGCAGCCAAACTCCGCTCTGCTGAAGGCACAACAGGAGCCAGACTCCTGATCACTCGCTCTGTGGGAAGCAGGGTCTCGTGTCTAGAGGTCACAAACACCGCTGTTTGTTTTGTCTGGATTTGGTTTTGAACCAAACCTTGCCATTATGAACCATAATGTCATGGTCCACCACAGTCACCATGCCTGAAGTACCTACGGTAAGTCTGATTTTCAAGCAGCTCAGAAATGTTTCCGCCCATGTAAATTTAATTTCGTTGCTCTTTGCTCCCACAAATCTAATCTCTAAAGCCCTCTAACTAGATTTCAGCGGGCCCCTCAGGCTCCAGAATGACTTGGTCTGGCCGGCTGCACACCGTGGGCCAGGAGGGACTGTCCTCCCCCGCCACTTTACGTGATCTAATGAACTCCCCGACGCCTGGCCGAACCAGATCTTCTCTGCAAAGGACCAGGCTCCTGTGCGACAGGCTTCCCAGCTCTCTCCTTAAGCCATCCTGAGGCTTCTCTGCACGGCAGGCTGCATCCCCCACCGAGGCCCTGGAATTCAGCCGTGACCCCTGCAGCAGCAGGAGGTTTGCGGCCCCGCAGCAAAGCTCCTGGTGCCGAGTGGACCAGGGGCCAGGGTTGGTGTGAAGGTGGTGGAGGGGTGGGGCTCACCGCCGCAGTTTCGGGATCGGCCCTTGTGTGGGAAGCAGCAGTTTACCAGCCTGAAATCAACTTTTTCTCCTAAACCTGCTTCGCCCCCCTGCCAGAGGAGCAAGAGCAGCCTCAGGAACGGGCGAGGCTGGAGGCTGCCAGCCCCGGCGGGAGGCAGGCGGGGGCTGCGGGGGGGTTTCCACACGGAGAGGCGGCA